AATCATAATTAATGTCAGCAGGAGTACAAGATGCTATGAATTTATCAGTGCTATGATATATACACATCTAAGCAGAATCAAGCACTGCTCAAGGAAGATTAAGATCCATGAATCTAAGCTTACTATCTGCCTCTGGTGCAGTGCCACAAATGCATTCCTTGGGGTCTCACAGGCCACATACCTGGTTCACCAACAAAGAGATGAGATGTCAGACCTCTGATCTTAACACAACGAGACAGCAGTGCCTCCTGCTGTACGCCAGGCAGCATTTATTCCTGCACTTCCAGCTTCCTTTGTCTGATTTCAATTAGAAGTAAAGCTATGGTTAGCAAGCTGAGAATTTAGGTGATTAATGGAAGATGTGTAATTGGCCTTAACATCTTTGGAGCAACAGCCTGTGTCACAGAAATACACTCTGCACAGACCAGCATGGGACAACAGGGGAGTTGTGCAGTCTGTGAGGGAGCCAGAAATCCCCAAGAGATGTTCTGTTCATAAACCAGCTCTTAATGCATTTCTGAGCGTGTCACAGCACATCAGGGATGGTCTGCAGCACCCGCAGGGTTTCAGCCTCCTCAGACTTGCTCCCCTTTTCTTGCTTTAACTTATTTCAGTATTAATCTGCAGGAAGTCCTGCTGCAACACTGCGACCTTCTGCTGAACAGACTTTCACTTGTGCTGACCCATGACAAACTATCACAGTTGGGGAATGCTGACTGTATCATAGCCCACATGAATGCCAAGACTGGCTTAATCCAAAAACATCAGAAAAAGGAACTTGGGGTCAATCTTACTTAAGGAATGTGCCAAGCTTCCTGGAGGTCACAGAGAGAAAGAGAAAAAAAAAAAGCCCTACGTTTCACCTCTGAAATGGAGAGACTGAGAGGTTTTAAATCCCTTCATCAGCCTGCAAAGCAGGTAGACTAGCAAAATAAAAGAGGGGCTTGTCTCTGCCCCTCTGGGCTGTAACTGGGAGCCTTTCACTGAGCAGGCTCTTCCTCCCCCTCGGGGTGGGTTCCTGCATATCAGATAGAAAATCTCTTTGAAAAACAGCAAGTCAAATCTTTCAAAACAATCATTATGATAACAACGAAGAATAATAATGTTAAAGACTACTCTGCCACCACGACTTCCACCCAAAAAGTTTCTCAAGGCTTTGCAGAGTCTATTTATCAAACCTCTGTGTAGGGCAGCTGGCTCTGGGGAAGAATGTCAACAGCCTCCGCAGCATGCTGCAGTCACTTCTCCCTGCCATCAGAAGCACCTCACTGTCAGATCTCTCCAGCAGAAGCACGAGGCCCTGGGCTGCTTGTGGGGCAGGATCACCACCCTCCGCACATTTGTTCAGGTGGTGGCACTGCTGAGATGGGTGTCTGTCTGTCCTGCCCTCACACTTCTTGAATCAATCTTCTTTGCCTTATTTCCAGGCCTTGGGGTGATGTAATATGTGCAAGGCAGCTTGAGGCCTTTGGCTCAAAAGGTGCCATGGGTGCAAAGGACCATCCCAGGCAAGTTTTAAGCAACCAGTGAGTTTCACAGCATGTCTGGGAGACTTCTGTGTTTTATATTTGAAGAAGTTGAGACAGGAGATGGTGACATAGCTTCTAAAGATCATTGAATGAAACTGTGGGAGTGACAGGAAAAAAACGTAGTTATCTAAAGCTTTTCAAATGACCATCAGATAAACTCTCTTCTAGTTATTTGCCATTAAGGATCAAAGAATATCCCAGTATTCAGCTAAAAGAAGGCAGAAAAGGGCACTTGCACTTGAAACCAGTTTCATTGAGGAACAGGGTTCCCAATAACCTTCATGCAAGTTCAGTGAGAGGGCAAGAGGGCTTGGTGGACTTGGAAGCTGCGACACCTGCCTTGCCAGGACCACGTGTCACCACTGTGCTCCTGCCAGCCTGGCTCTGGTGGCTCATGCCAACTCCAGCTTGGCTGCAGTAATCCCCTGTCACCAGGATGGCCAGGAAAAATGTAGTCTGCAAGCTGTCATGCCAACATCACTGCAGTGATGAGCCCTGAGAAGGAGCGCCAGGATGAATGTTAGCTCTTCTGTAACTAGAGTTTGCAGAAGTAGTAGGTAAAGGCTTACCTGGGCTGTGGTGCAAAGCCTTTGAGGATGGGCTGAGCTGAGGAGAAGGTCTAAAAAAAAAAAAAAAAAAAAAAAAAAAAAAGAGACTGGTTTGGAAGCAAGAAGGTAGCTATGGACGTTTGTAGACTGACTCCAGATTTATTCTGGGGTAAATGAGAGAAAAAAAAAATTGGTCTTGTGCATGTACAGCCAAATGTGAATGTTTGCAAAGCCTGAGTAATGGGAGTAGTACGTCTCCTCACCTCTATCCCTCCTCTTTAACCATTTCAGACCTCTTTTTTTCCTCATCCCAGATGAAAAGCCTGATCCATCAGCTGGACAGACAATCCACAGGATTTCAGATCTCCCTGAAAGTCTCCTCAGAAACACCTTTCCTTAGAAATTTTACCGCTCACTCTGCAGACCAGACCATCATCTACTAAGCGTCTATGCAGGCTAAGCCAAACATATAAATCTCTGGCAATTCAAAATTCACAGCATAAAACTCAGGGATTTTGAGAGCTGTTTGTAGCACTGTTACTGAATTCTTAGAAGTGAGCAAATGCTGCACTTGAGCAGTCATGCAAAATATTAATTTCCATTGTCGAGACAGTTTTCTTAAGCTTCATTGACTGTCTTGTTTCCAAAATTGTTGCTGAGAGTAAGTAAAAGTAATCAGAAAAGTAATTCTTCTGACATTGATAAGAATGGGAGCGCCTGTTCTCCCTTCTGAAATGAAATGGTTGATGCTCGTTGTCATCCAGGGGAAGGAAGATGTGACCCATCGCATCTAGCCACATTCTGATCCTAGGTAGTTTGTACACAGTAGCAAGAAATGCTCAAAGGGAAAGATCCCTCAAAGAACATTTGAAGAAAAGGAATTTTAAATTCATTCAGGTAGAGATTGAGAAGAAAATATAACACCAAAGATTGAGCTCTTCAGAGATGAAGGAGACTGTGTTCCTGTGCAAAGCACCTAGCACCAAGTTCAGCCAGTTCACCAGTGAACAACACTCAAAAGTAATGGAATTAATGAGCATCCATCAGGCTGCTGCAAGACTGTTCAATAATATGATTTGGAAGACACTAATTTTTGTCATTTTAGTGATTTGCTTTATCTGTCCCATCATATCTTTGCTTAATTGTTTTTTACTTGCTTATCTATTGAAATTAAGCATCCCAGCTTCATTTCCCAGGCCTCCAGTTAAAGGGACTTACCAGGTTTATGAGTAGGTTCCTAAATTTTGAACAGGAGTTAAAACAGGTTCAGGTACGATTACAAAACTTCATTTATTTTTTTTCAATCTGACAGCCCCTTTGGCTGCCGCAGGTCTCCTCCCCACCTTAGCAGAGCAGCAGCTTCCATGCTAACCTGAACAGGCTCTGCCAGTAAGCCAACAGCTCTTACTTTCAATCATCTCATTTTTTTTTTTAGATGAAATAGCTTGGTTTTGACTTTCTCTGCAGAAAATACTTTTTCTAAGTCTTTTGTCTTTTTCTTTCATGTTTATTCTCAACTTTGTGGCAGGATCCAATGAGACTCTGAACCGAATCTGACACAGTCAGTCTCAGACAGAATGATCTCTTCTCATAGTGCACATAAGTGCTTTTTGGACCAGCTTCCTTTCTCTCAGGCAATTACAGGTGATTTTAAAGAGATAGATGTTGTCAGATTTCTCCTTTGTCTGACAGGCTTTTTTTTTTCTTTTTTCTTTTTTTTTTTCCCCTTGGCTTTCTCTTTTCTGAGTAATAATAAAAAGTTGGCATTTCTGGGTGACTTCCCAAATTTCTGACCACACCACAGGATTGCATTCCAGCACAAAATCCCAGCTATTTCCTGTTTTCTGTCACAACTAGCAAACAAATGCCCCAAAAAGATCAGAATTTCTAGGGAAGAGCTGTGGATAGTCTGCTGGCAAATGACTGCAGTTAAGTAGGAGCTTATATTTATGAATTCCCTTCTCATGATAAAAGACAAAGGTATTTTTCCCATTTACTCTTCACTTAAGAACCACATCTAGCTGAGCATTTTATTTCAATCTGATTGCCAGAAATACCCTTGGAAGGATAAAATTACCCATTACAGTCCTTATGAACAGCCTGGTAATTAGAAGCAATTAAGATGCCCATTAGCCTTTCACAGCTCTCACCAAGCTGCTTGCTCCAGCCTCCTGACCATCCTAGAGGCCCTGCACTGTGGACGCCCTCCAGTTTATCAGTGTCTTGAAATGGGGAGCCCAGAACCAGTATTTCACTCCAGGAAGCGTGGAACAGAGGAAAATAACCATTTTCTCCAACCTCCTGGCTGCCCTTTTATTAATGCAGCCCCATGTGCCTTTGTCACCTCTACATTCATCTTTCTTTCCTTCACCTTGCTTTCTTGGTGAATAAATGAGCAGATTCTTTCAACTGAAAAGATTTTTTATGTCCTCTTTATCTTTACATTATGCAAATAAATAAATAAATACATATAATTAGGTATTGTTGGTTTTGCAGTAACCCCACAGCTTTTGCAAAACTTTAGTCTTAATTTAGCATACTTTTCAGACACATTTTGGTTCTAGGAAAGCTTGAAGGAATTGAAATGGGGCCCAAAATTGAGGGCTCGAGCAAATGTTAGACAGCTGCATGCATCCTTCCAAAGTAAAATAGATACTGAATGTAGCTGCTTGGAAATTAGGATTTTCTGCTTCTGCTATGCTTGTCATATTGGAAGTTCTTGTTTTATTTATCAGTTTGGATGCACCTGACCTTGTCTGTTCCATCTTGAAAACCTCCTTGTGCAGAGAGAGCAGCTGGACAACTGTCCCACTCACAGTCCCAAGCAAAGCAAACAAATAACCCAACAGGTTTGGAGATACACTTGTTTCAGACCTTGTTTAAGCAAAAAGAGGGGGCAAAGAACTCAATGAGGTTCACTAACCTTCACCAGCACAGGCAGAGATGAACCACAGATGCAGAAGAAAGTCCCCTTGGGTTGCTCAGCTCACAGTTGCTGCCGTCCTGAGGCTCTCTCTGACCTGACCGCTGTCTCCTTCCAATCGCCCTTTCTGATGTCCTTGCCTAGCCAAGATGGAGCAATAAACTCATCTGGGTAAAAAGCACCCTGCAGGAAAACAGAATAAAATGACACTCTTACTACAAATTTTGTCCTAATGTTGAAAATGTCAAATGAAAACTAGATGCACTCTTGTCCCCTGGAGCAGGGTGGTGGCTCCCAGGAGCTGCTGAGGGACCCAGCAGTCACCCTGTCTTTGTCCCATCAGAGCCCCAGGGAGTGAAGCCAGTCCTCAGCCACAACCCCAGCCCTGCAGGCTCCAGGGGCCACGGCCATTAACCTCATTTCTGCCACCACTGGGGACAGCATCACCGGGGTCAACTCCCAGCTGCCCTGCAGCGTCAGCAGTCTTACACCAGGGAAATGCCTACAAAATGCCTTTAAACCAGCACAACAAAAGTCCACGGCCACTTTGGTAGATGAAAATGGAAACGTTGAGGAAACAGAGATCAGACCTCTCATGCTCAGAATCACAGTAAATAACTTCCCCACCTCCAGGATCATTTCTCACCTCCTCTGTCTTTAAATCATCAGTGTCATGGTGGAAAAAACAGAAGGACTCAGTCCCTTAAAGCTCTTTCCTCTTTTTGCCTATCATTTAATTAAATTATCCTATAATGAAATCTTTCCCTAATGAGTCAGTGTTTAATAATTTATTAGACGCTGAAGCCCTGCTTAGAGTCTCATCAATTATGTATCACAGCACCAGGCACTTTCAAACTCTCTTTTTTCATTTCTCATTCACTTCATTAAAAGCCCCAGCCTTGCTACTTCTAGGTTTCAGATCACTTGCCTAGACTTAGAGGTCAGCTCACTGTTTTGCCCAGAACTCACCAACAGATGTCTGCGTGCATGTGCTACGTGTTCTAAAATTGTGTGGCATCTGCATACGTGTCTGTGCACATGTAGAAGGGCACAAGTACCTGTCTGTAAGCAAGAATGAGCATAAATCACACTGTTTTATTCAGATTGGCACATGGGTGTATACGTATCTTTGTTGATTTGTAAAATCTGCGTATGTGTAGATGAGTTTCTGTTAGCACTCATGCATCTGCATCTATAAGGCTATATTTGCTTTACATCCATGCACGTATATCTCAGTACTGGCATTCCTGCCCACAGCAGTGTGCCAGCACACTCTTCTCAGTGCAGTAAATGAGCCTGTCTTTTCTCACTGCCTTTTTCGTTTGTTTTGCTTGAAAGAGTAGCACATACAGGAATTCCTGTAGGAATCAGTCAGGAAATACGTACATGAGCTGTAAAGATAATGAATCTATGTAAGTGATCAAGAAAGGACTACGAAGTGCACATTGCTTCAGTCCTGACCAGCACCCACAGAGTCATTTGGGGAAACGGAGCTGATTTTTCACTGTGTTTCCCATCCTGGCCACTATAACCCCTCTGCCTCCTGTAGAGCACTAAGCCTTTATTTAAAACACATTGCCTTATTTACATGGAGGTAGTTTTGGAGTCAGCAGCTCTGTTGATTACATATCCTGGGAGCATTTTGCTGTAAAGACTTGTGTAAAGTGCACTGCTATTAAAAAACTAGTCTAGGGAACATTCCCCCCAAAGAACTGGTGATCTTGGAAGAGTTATTCTAAAACTTTGCTCATTCACTCCAGCTTGTTTTGTCAAGTCTGGGTCAAATCTGCTCAGTTAGCACAGAAACACAATTAGTTTAATCCCCAGTTTGGGAGCAGAGGGTCAAGCTCAGTTGTTGCTAACTCACATGGTCTCCACAGAAAAAAAAGTGGTGTTGGTGCTCAGGGGAGCTGCAGGGCTGGAGCAGCTGAAGCCTGTGGCTCCAGGTGCCTGCATGGGGAGCACACATCAGTGGGATGATGCTAGCAGCAGCAGAGCAGATCTGATGTTGATCTGATGCTGTGCTGTAAAGGGTTTTTTGTTTTCTTTTCCCGAGCACAACCATGCATATTCCATACCTGAATTGGGGCATGCTGAAGCACCACCAATTTGCCACATCTTAAGGTCTCCTGTAGCTTAGGGCAAGGATTCTCCAACGGGAGCTGGTCTGCTTTTTCAGTTTCAAAATTATGCTCTTTACATTAGCCAGTCTGGGGGAGGAAAAAAAATGTGGTGCTGGCTTCCTTTCAAAAGAGTCAAATTGTGACTTTGTGCCACTTCCCAGCAAGTCCAAGAAAGAAATCGAGTCCCACAGGACATGCGCTGGGTCACTGCTTGTTCCTGGTGACCCGATTCAGACTGACCAGGAGGAACACAGGCAGAAGGAATCCCCTTACCTCCTGTGAAGAGCTAGCGAAGTCACAGCACAGGCTGGTGCTGTCCCACTCAGCCACTGCTTCCCTTGGATCCGGGCTGGTCCACTCTGCTGCTCCCGCTGGCTGCTACCGATGCTTCCAAGGATGGGGAAATGACACTAACTCCCATGCTCATGCATTTGCATTTTGAATACTTAACTAGACAGTTGTGCAAGGGAAAGATTTTTTTGATCAATTTATACCCCAAAGCACAAAATCTGATTTTCCTTGTAATTATCTTATCAAGCAAATCTAAAGGAGTTATTAGCTGTAACAATCCCACCAGGTCTTTCAAAAAACTGCTATGATTTTAGAGGGTCTTTTCTTACTTCAGATTGTTTCCTTCAAAGTGAAAACTTCCCCAAAACCATAGAAAGAGACTCCATAACAGACACAATAAGATACATTTTGCCAATCAAATGATGATAAAAAAAAAAAAAAAAAGCATGCAGCCATCCAAAACAACCCTGTACTGGTGTTACTGGAACTCTTGCATTGCTCAGCAGTAAATATTCTGTGTCAATAGGCCATTAACTTTTAATCCCAGTGCTGGCCATTTGAGAACCTTACATCAACACTCCTGTTATTTTACACATTGCTTCTCATCTTATTAAGTGACTTGCACATATGGACAAGAGCACAGTTTCACAAATGAGCTTGCGTCAATAATGCACAGGACACCACCTCTGATAAGGAAGAGGGAGAATTGCAAGAAAATGAATATGTCTGGGGCTATCATGAGTATTTATTTACATTGAGAAGAAAGAGAAACCACTCTTGAAGAGCTTAATGCATTACCTAAGCTGAACTTCCAACATATGCTCACTCTCAGCTGCATTCTAACTTCATTTTTTTCATCCTCACAGCAAATTTGGTGCTAGTGAAAGATGCCAGGCTGACAAGCAGAGTTCACCGCTCACAGCACAGGCTGCTGCCCAGGCAAGCTTCTCTCCAGGCTCAGTTCTCTGCTGCTACCTGATGCAGACAGATGATTTCCAGGGTGAGAACCGAGCTTGCTGATCCAGCTCTATAGTGCTGTTGAAGAGCATCTCCTCCAGGAATGCCTTCTCTAGAATAACAGACAACAAGGGGAGAGCTTAATAGTTTTGATTCTCATCCTTTTCTTCAACAGTATCTTGCAGATAAAATGTACGAAGCAACATTTTATTTTAATTGTGAAATATGGTGCATCAAAAAAACCTGTTTTTGAAATGAACTCAGAAGGCTGAACATTGTTTCTCTCAATAAATTCTTTCCAAGCACTGAATTTATGATATTGAATCAAGCCCTGACCTGTTGATTTTAAACTGGTTCTCCTGTAAGTCACCCTACAAATATTTAGATTCCCCAACCGGCCCTTCTCTTCCTTCCAACTAACTGTTGTGCAAATCCACAAAGCTACTGCAAGCAATTACTCAACTGGACAAACTAAGAAATACAATATCCTGTATCCAGCTACTAGAGATGTCCCTACAGTATTCCTCAGGCTGTTGTGGAAGGTGACTGGCAAAGTTTTGAAAAGTCCTATTAGAGACGTGAGATTGAAGGGGAAAAGTGCTCACTTCTTGGTTTAGCTCTAGCACAGAAATAGAAGTGAGCGGGTAAGCAAAGAACAGAGATTCACTGAGGGCGTCAGGAGCATGTGGCAGTCCAGCAGCCAGACAGTCGTGCACACATACAGATATAATTGAATAATATTGAAGCGGCAATTGCTACTCTGTAATTGCATGGCTCTAATTCCTGGCATTTAGTTGGCTGGAATTCAGTAGGAGTTGGTGTGTCTTCTATGGAGAGAAATGATGACAGTGTAACAGCTGTGCTCTCCGGCAAACTGCGCAATGATATTAGGGTTTTAGGGCTCTTTGGTTTGATTCCCAATAGCAACTACCCTATTATCTGTGGTCGAGACAGGTTAGCACCTGCTAAAAACAATTTCTCATAAATTAGTTCATGTCAGCTCTTGAATAGCTGCTACTTAAGCCTAAGGCCTGTCTGTGCCCGGCCGCAGCCACCCCTCCCCGTGCAGATGGCCGTGGCCCCGCAGCTGTGCACCGCAGCGGGGCAGCCCGCAGAACAATCAGGGCAGTGTGCGAGGCCTGCCAGGTTGTGCGGGGTGTCAGCACGGGGACCCACACCTGTGCTGTGCAGATGGCGAATGCGCTCCTTCCCTTTGGGGGATTGCAGAGGGCCTGGCGCGGAGGAGGAGTGCACGGTGCTGCTGTTTGTGTCTAACCCTGGGTATCCCTTTACAAGTGGGGCCAGCTCGCTGGAGGAGAGGCAAAGCCCATGCCTTGCACTGGGTCCCTGAGCTGCCTAAGGGGATCTATTTGTTTGCACTGGGAAAGCTGTCCTCTGTCAGGAGGCAGCAGGTCTTACCCAGCCAAGTCAGGTCCTTGCTGAACACTGGCCATTTAACACTGGCCTTTACTAAGCATCTGAGGCCAGACCCAGCTTTATGTTACAGCCATCGTGAAGATAAGGATGGCCCTTGAGCTGAGAGCAAAATCTGAATCACAGCTATAAAAATTCAGGTCTCTCTCCAGTTTTTGTCACCATTCAGCTGCATGTGCTTCATGCTCTCTTCATGGACCCACATGTGTCTGTGCCCACTCCACAGGCAGCTCGAGACAGCATCGTACAAAGAGACCCGTGAGCGACAGCTTTGCAGGCTGAGCTGCCGGCACTGACCTTGACGTGATGGAGATGTTTCCAGGATGGCACATACAGATGGAACATTTCCTTGACACAGACAGACCTTATATTACACAGAGTCCAGCAGGTCACTGTAAGTGCTTTGAATCAATAAGGCATCTCACGAGAGCCTGTGCAGCCCCCGAACAGAAACGAAATCTGATCTCGCAGCTCAATGTGTTACAACAATTTTTCAACTGCGTAGAAAACAAGGGGCTGCAGGGCAAGCAGTTGTCTCTCTTGAGGAAATAGCCAGAAAAGGACGAGGTTTATGCAAGGCACATTCAGGATCAGCAAACTAGGATTTGAACAGACCATTTGGAAAAGACCAAAAAGTAATAATTGTGAATAGGGGGCAGTAATAAACGTGGTGCCCATCAGTTCACTAACACCAGTCACAGCATCAGTACCAGCAGGACATGTTTGCCTGTTGGGTAGATTTCACTAGCCTGATGTTACAAAGCAGCATTGCCTGCAGATGCCATCACTATCACATTGCAGACCAGGGAGCATTGTTTCCATTTGTGCAACTGAGCTCCAGCCTTTCCCTTCACCTGGATGAAGTCACATCCCAAGGTCTCTGTCACCAGTGGCAGTTACAGGAAACATGAACAGCCTGCCATCATGCTTATTTTTCCTCACTTTGTCACTCCAGACATCCTTTTTACATTTCAGTTGGCTTTTGTTGTTGTTGTTTTCTCCAGAAGATAACTTTCTCTTCATTTTTCCTTTGCATCTGCTCTTCCCACATTTTTCTTTTTTTCTTTTCTGCTGTCCTACCATCTGCTGTGCTTGTGAAACCATACTTATCCAAAGTTAGTTCATCTTTATTTGCAAACAGCTTCTATTTTTATCTTAACAGCTATTTATTTAGCTGTTGGACAACATACTAAACACTGCTCAAAGCTTTAGGTTTCCACCCAGAGGGAGGCTGAGCAGATTCTTTTTACCCTTCCCTTGGGGTAGGGAGAATGTGACACTTCTAGAGAAAAAAAAGAAAAAAAAAAAAAAAACAAGAAAAAAAAACCATGAATTATGAATTAAACAGTTTAAAGACATACTTAGCTAAGAAGCAAACTGGACTGATTCCCCTTGACCCGCAAAAGCAGTGATGATTCTGGAGAAAAAATATTAAACGAGATATTTTACCTGGGAAAAGTGACCATTCATTAGAGCAGACTCCAGATCCTACAAAGGTGGTATGGGTACACACAGCTGAAGAGCCCCCAGCAGTCATCAATTCTCCAAAACACACCACCTGAAATTTCTAAACATTTGAACTCTAGCAATAGGAAATACTAGGAAGCATACAGCCCTGATGCTCAGGAGTTAAACAAACAGAGGGTTAGGTGTACCATTCTTGCAGGACAGCACTTGCCATCCAGCAGACCCAGCTTCTGAATAACAAAAAGCACCTGGAAAGTGTGAAAACGGTATGAGAGTCAATGCAGGAAAGTCAGAGTCAGAGAGAGCACAAAGTCCTCATTTTGTAGCACCAGACAGTGAAAAAAAGGACATAACAGAACCAACTACATCTGTCATAGACAAGCTGATTACAATCAATAGACATGGTCTATTATTAGACCATTATTATTTAATGGTCTCTCAGAGTTCCAGCTGGGCAATTAGCAATAGCATTAAGCAAGCAAAGACGTACTGAAAGCCCGTTTCTTCAGTGGAAGCGACAGAAAAGAGAAATAAGAAACCAAATTAATATTTTTTGATACAAATTCCTCTCTCATTAGTACTGCATGAAACCTACTGCCATTGGTAAGAAATAGAATAAGTACCAGAGTTTTTATTTTCTTTCTGCAATTTTCTGATTATTTTTTTTTAATGAAAAAAATCTATCTCAGCTTCAAACTGTAATAAAATGTATTGAAGTCAGGAGGTAAATATGAGTGAGAAGGAAAGAGTGGTCTTTGGGGTATTCCTTTTACAACCAAATAAATCAAAAATAATGATTTTGAAAGTCCCAAGTTCATTAAAATCAAAGAGCACAATTCATGGTTTTCCTTTCTCACCCCTAAAATGCAGCAGGTATCATCCCAGTCTTTCCAATGATAGAAAATAGCATTAAAAATAATTGAAAAAATGAAAGTTTTCTATATATCTTTTATTTTGTTCACGGTGTAATTACTGAACTAGAATGCACTCAAAAAATATGACACTGCTGCATTATGAATGACAAAATTAGACAACTAAATGACTGCCTCCTCTGTGACCTCAGAACACTTTTCTTGAGAATTGGAACAGACCCAGTATTTTGCATAAATTTAGTTGATTATCCTAAATTTTCCCCCACAACTCAGGTGACCTGCTGTTTTGCAAGTTTTGACCTGTGATTTCATATGAAATAAAGACTAAAGTTGAAGATTATATTTCCTATAATAAATTGTGCTCTTTCTAGAATGTACCAATCCAGATCATCCAAAAATAACAGGGGAACTAATTGATGA